GCATGGTAAACAGCTTTGATTTCTCTTTTTCTGGCATTCTACATTTTAAAAGCAGAACACGATAAGCTTAAATTCCTGTTTCTTGGGGTTGGGGTTTATTCTGCTTACTTTTGGAATTTTTCAGCTTACATGTTAACAACTCCTGACTTCTTTGGATAAAGTAACATAGTCCATTTACAGGCTTTTATGTTGCACATTTTACATCAATATTATTCTAGCACTGTTTGAAACTGCTGCAAAAAGTCCCACACATCACAGCCTTACAGCATCTGTATTTTGTTCCATCCTCTCTAAAGATCGCCATTAAGACGTGTAAAGAAGCTCCTCACCCATCTTAGTTATTTAGAACTTTCCAACTGAACTGTGGCTAACAGAGGATGTTAGCATAAGTATTTACTTAGCATTTCTGCGATCCATATTTTAATCCAGACTGGCTTTTAACTCAATGGTTCCCCTATCCTATTTTCCAAACCCTGAATTTAGAAAGATGAAACAGTGATCACGACGTCAAGAAGGCTTTGTGCAAAGAATTATACATACAAATCCACTCAACTGTGAAACTTGTATGATGTAAAATATAATCTGGTCTTGCCAACAGGTGTCTACCAGATTCCCCTTCATGTTTTTGATGTATCTCTGGTGAGTACACCTGATTTAAATAGCTGCCTTTTCTTCCCAGCATGCCATCAAGTGCATTGGAAGGCTATTAATCACCAGTTTAAGTTAGATGTCTAGCACAAGAGAAATTCCTAAAACAGGCAGTGCAATGTATAACGAGGAACCCCAGGCAACCTTTGCTCTAGATTACTGAAAGAATTGACAACTAACATGATAACAATGAAAGTAAGAATATATCCCTTTTCAACAGGGGGTTGAAAAAGTAGACACAGTACAAGGTATGGGCTATGAGAGTGTCAATTCTCAGTCATAAGGGTTCAGTTTCACTATTAAACAGGCTTAAATTGGGGGCAACTGGACTTTGGCTTAGAAATTCTTAAGATGTTTTGACACCTATCCAGTAGTCTTTGTTAATTCTATCAGCTCACATCAAAGCGAACTGTAATTGGAGCACTGATGTTTTTAAGCAACATGAGGTCCATTCTTTGATTCCAAGTCAGATGCACATCAATTGCCCCAACGTCGTCCACCTGGGTTTTTGGCATATTTAACAGTATGGGTATGCGTTAGGCCTTTTGAATCATGAGTGTGCTTGTGCAATTTCTCTACAATGAGTTCCATGGCCGAATTGTAGATAGTTGTAATATTCGTGCATCCATTTTCTCCTGCTAAGTCCTTGTCAGGGTCACTGTTGGGACAGTGCCGATCTCTGGCAGTCTATGGGCAAAAGGCGGGATAAAACACCAGTCTGCTGCATGGCAAGAGAGAGACACACAAAAGCATGCACACACACACACACACACACACACACACACACTCACACCTACAGGATATTTAGAGATGTCAATTAACCTAATAATCATGTTATTGGACTGTGGGAGGAAGCCTGCGAACCTGGAGAGAACCCACGCATGCACAGGGAGAAAATGCAAACTTCATGGAGAAATACCCCCGGCCAGGAATAGCGTAATTGTAAATGGCCTGTACATATATTATGCTTTTTCAGATTTGGGGACTTGACCAAAGCACTTTACACTACAATTAGTCATTCACTCACACACTGATGATGGCAGGCAACGCTGAAGCCACAGCTTTCCTGGGGCTCACTGACAGAAGCGAGGCTCTGTCACTAAGCCAAGATAAAACTGAAATCCTCCCACTTTGTTTAGTGATGGTCTTTCCTTTTTAATAAAGATGGCTTCCTTCAACCCTCTTTCAAACACCTGTCTTCTTTGTCCGAGTCCGAACATTTTGATTGTCAATGTTGTTTCCTATATTCTTGAGCAGAAAGAGTACAACAGAATCAAGAGCTTCTGGCTATCCTGTGCTGCACCATGCATTTATATAGTTGTTTGTTTTATCCATTATTGGAGTATGAACATCCTATCAAGTAATAAATCAAATCTAAGGACTACACACAGACATTAGTATGTAGCTAAATTTGTTGATGTGCATGGGGAGTCTAATATTTTTGCACATGAAATGCTATATTATAAGGAACCCAGTCTTTAAAAAAACATTTGTTGTATTTGTAGTTGATGTTTTGTTGGCCACATTTGTTCCCATTGTCCCTAAAGACTTTTCTTTTCTTTTGTAGATTGTTTTTATTTTTATTTTGACAAAGCAAACACAGAATGGGAATCTTATTAATAGTAAAAAAAATCATACTCTGTCCCAAGTTTTGAACATCTTAACCTTTGGAATCAAGAGATAGGGCTCTTCCAGAAAATACCTTCTCTTAACACTCACTATGAAAGGCTTGAAGGAAGTATTTTGGTATATTTAACTACTCAAAAAATGTTTCAAAATAGTGGCCTTCAGTAGTAAGCCTGTAATCCACATCAAACTGTAAGCTGCATATTTTTGACCTCCCAGCTTTAATTCTTTATTCACGTTTCAGCGCAGTAGTATCTACTGTTTTCCGACAATAACAGGAAGGCCACAACGTTGCATTGTAACAGCAACGCAATAGCAACCTGGACTGTCATTTTTAATTAAATGCCCCGCTTACAGCCTATAATATTGTCTCTGTTGCAGCTTAAGCAGCATGTTTTTACTTTCACTTTGTCAATTAATTTCTTCTCAGAAGTATTGGCCTATACTGGAAAGAAATTACAATATTTTATATTTGATGCAAAGGGAAAAGATAACACTAATCACAGGGATTTCAAAAGTATTAGGCAGAATCAATTGCACACATTCTTGAATCAACTATCACAAGACCAAGTGCTTAGTCCAGACCAGCCCATGATTAAGGAGTTATCGTCATCATTACAGCAAGCTAATGGTATGCTCAGAGGTACATTTTCTTTTAGTCCAGTGTAAAGAACAATAAGGTTAGATGGACTAAGATTGTCTTAGCAGTCTGCAGTCAGGATTATTGTTTCATCTTATCAAAACAATTTTGTTTCAAAAAAAGCATTAATCTCGTATTTGATGCAAGTCCCTATGTAAAACGGCAGATGAATTTGAGAGAGTGACTTTCTTTTCTTTTCTGTGATAAGTGGGAAAAAGTAGTTTTTAGACATTTGTAAGCAGAAAAGTACACCTTACAATGTAATTTGTGTTGTCAGAGCATCGAGATTACGATCCTACCTTTATGTAATGGGTCCGAGCTATAGACCCCACAGGCAGTCACACTGGGATATACTTGTCTGGCCAGTCAGAGGGACTTGGCACATATACAGATTCATTTTTTTATAGTTTTGTGTTGAAAGTTCTGCACAGGTAGAGATCATGATTTAGATACAGTAACTGTCTCACAACTGGCACAGAGATCAACTTCTCTGATTGGTTGAAGCAGTTTTTCAAAGGACCTTTACCGCAGGATCACTTGTCTTCCCTTGCATAATTCCCCCATAGACTTTGCATGTAAACTGGATGCTCTGATGCTCAAAATGTATCTTAAAAAAAAACAATAAGAAGCAAGAGAGTTAAGGCTTTTGATTTGACTCTCCAAGCTACATTTTTTAAAGGGCCTCTCTACGGACCATCAGCCAGCCGAGATCGAGCATTCACGGGAGAAATTCCCCCAGTATAAAAAAGGCAGGTCGTAAATGCTGATCTGTGGTTGCTGCTCTAACAAACTCAAAGAAAATAGCTACATAATTCATTTAATTCAATTTGTATACTCATACATTGGGTAATTATGCTACCTTCTATATAAGCACAGAATATGGGTGGGATGGTCCCAGACATACCTATAAATTTGGATGGTCTACTTTGCTATTGACAGAATTTACTTTAAATTTATCCAAAAAGGATGTTTCTTATTTTGCCCCATCTTCCTGTCTGACTCATGATGCTCCTGTCAAATTATGCTTTTACAATTGCATGCATTTCAATGAAATGTAATTGCTTCAACTTCATGCCACCCGATTTTCCAACAGATCGTCAGATTGGATGCTACTTGCTTGGTGGCCAAGAACATAGACCAGTTTTCCCATTAATGACATTTCCAAATACCAAATGATTCTGTTGAGTTAATTTACTTTGTTAAAAAAAACAAAAAACAAAAACGTTTTCTTTAGCATGTTATTTTCTGAGACCAATTAGTTATATTGAACATTAATGTTCTATGGCGAGCGGCTTGATGTACTATGATGGATGGACTTTGATGTTTCTTTGTGGCCCTTTAAGGTTTTTTAAGGGTCAATATTTAGATTTTTCAGATAAAATTTCTGTCTAAACTGTATAAAAAATATAATTATATGATTCAGCAAGGTCTCAAAGGATAATTCTTGTTTCATCAGCCTGTGGAGATAAAGTCATTCACAATTTCAGTGCTGATGAAATATGAATCAAACAGCACACATTTCCTTCTGATGCACACTACTTTATTTTTGGTTTAGCTCAACAGTTGAAGTCTGAAGGCAGTGAGCTGAGTCAACACCTAATTTATAACCAAAATCAGACATGCAGGACAGCCATCGGTCAATCCACAGTCCATCTCCCTTCCTTCACCCGTTGGAACAGTATATTAAATTTTTTTTTTTCAATTTCATCACACACACTACCAGACTGGTCCCAGGGCTCATTATAGAGGGAGAGAAAAAAAAAACATTTAAAGGAAATAAACAGACTCGCCTCATCTCCTATTTCACCATTTCCTCAGGAGAGGAGATGTAAGCAACTTTTCATCTTCCAAAATATAGCCTGAAAAAAAGGTAGCTGGGAATAGGGATGTAGAAAGGTATGTTGCATCGCTGTTCAAGTAAAGCTTCATGCTTTTCACCAGAGTAAAGCAGTAGTTTTTGGCTAGTTGTGGTATTTAACGGAATTCGTCATGATAGATGTCTGGGTTGAAACAACAATATCAGAAATCCTCAACTTCTAACAGTTGCTGAAAAAAGAATTCCCCTGTAACGGGGGGAACTTGATACCTTCATTCTTACCTTCCTCCCAACCATGTGGACTTTCTGTCTTTTCTTTCCTTTCACTTTTTCCATTCCTTCCCCCTCTTTGGTCCCCTGCTGCCACAATGCTCCATGTAAATTCTGGAGCATCCCCAAAGTGGATGCCGCATGTTCTGCTGCCACCAAGGCATCGCTGACCTGGAGAAAGAAAGACATGTACTTTCCGGTAAAGCACTCAAAACGAATGTAATAGCAGTGTTTTTGCAAATAAAGCAGATATCATACCAAAAACGCAAGAAAGAAACAATAATTAACTGATTATCCCACTTCAAAGAGGAAAAAACTCCATGGAATAATTAGTTTACACCACTACAATACAGGCAGCGTGATAAAGTAAGCATATCAACAAAACTTACAGAAATACTATTAGAATAATTCATTTTAACAATAAAACAGATTTCCAAAGAGGTAAAACCATTGAAATACTTCTCAGAACCTTTCAAATCCAACATTTTCTAAAAAAAGAACAAATATATAAAATTATTTCGGTTTTTAAGCTTTGACACACAAGCAGTTAAAGCAAACAACAGTTATTTTGAAATCATATAGATAAGAAGCCTCTACACCACAATTAGTCAATACAAATTTTTTGTAGTTATTGGACCTTAAGCTCCAAAAGTTTTGCTGTGCACGCTACTATTAAGTATGTGAAGCCACAAATAGAAATAGTGTAATAAAACTCATCACTCTGAGTAGATTTCACAATTATGCAACCAGATTGAGAGGGAGTTTTAATAAATATCAAAAACAGAAGGACTGTATCTAATGACAGTGTTGTTACTTTTGGTAAAGGAGCGCTGGCTCTGTTTGGCTCCAAGCTTAAGGGGCATCTGGCTCTAACAGGCAGATGGCTGCTCCTACCTCAGCCCTGTTGACACACACATATGGTAATAAAGATGGAGAAATATTGGTAAAATGAAAATAAATTAATTTACTTAGATGTATTATAGAAACACCAGTGATACACTGCATCAAACTGGTTCAGTCACTGTAGACATTTTTTACAAATGTACTCTGCACTCTATCATTCTTTATCTTTACAAATGGGTCTTGTTTTGTGTACAGTAGCAGCCTTAGATGACCAGCGAAACGCGGAGCGCAGCATGGCTAGACACATTGTCTATTGTTAGTAATGCAAATTTATTTATGATTGGTTCAGAAACTGAGATAACATCAGTATCATATTTTTTTTCTGTTGGAAAGAAATGCATGAATAAAACTATGTATGGCTGGGAAACAATCCCATATCATAAACCCTCCAACACTTTGCTTTAAAGTTTGTTAGTGCTATATTTTGTGGAAAATACAGAAAACCACAAAATTCATGAAACACTATCAAATACGCTTTATTTGTTCAGTGTCAGTTTTGAGATAGACTTCAGTATTAGATATTCTAAACGAGGCCTATAGATTTTTGCCCTTAGAAGTTTTTCCATCTTCTTTAAACTGCCCTACAAAAAATATTGTTTGCAGGGAGAGAAATGAGGTTCCTCCCTTTTATCTGCCTTTCAGTCATTGCAGACTAACCTCATAAATGTTCATCCCTTTAGCTTGTTAAATCACTTCTAGGCAGCTGTGTCAATTTTGAAGTGCTTTTAATAGTAATGTTCCACACAAGATGAAGTGAGTACTGAATTATCTGTCCACTTCTGTTTTTCCAGTTCACTAAGAATAAGAGCTTGCATGGGGCAGTTATAATTTTACGTTGTACCAACAAACAGGTAAAAATGTTGAAAAAGGCTAATAACGGAAAGTGCAGCATGATCAAAATAAAATCTTCAGTAGAGGGTACTTCCATGTCTGCCTGAAGGGATGCGATACTGCGGCAAAGGTAATGCCTCTAACATTCATTCTTACAAAACATTTTCAACCCCTGAAACTAAGCACAACTATTTCAACAAAAAACCATGGCATCTCCTTATTGTGTGAATTATAACTGCAATCTTACCGCTCCCACTTAGAGGAATGGGAATCTATTCAAAGATGCCTGATGATGTAAATCAGCACAAAACTAATAAGATTTAAATCCAGACATCTGCAGTACAAACAACAGCTTCTACATCCTTTAAAGCAGGCATCCCCAAACTCGGTCCTCATGGCCCCCTGTCCCGCAGGTTTTAGAGGTTTCCTTGCTCCAGCACAGCTGATTTTAATTGAAAGCTGATTAACTGCAATCATTATAACCAGCTGTGCTGAAGCAGAGAAACCTCTAAAACCTGCAGGACAGGGGGCCTTGAGGACCGAGTTTGGGGATACCTGCTTTAAAGTAAGACGCTACCTGCGTGAGGAGACACGGATTTTTAAATATTGCAAGGCCAAATGCCGGCTATCCTATAACTCCTACAGTAATAAGTCAATAATAGGCCTGAGAAATAAATCATTTGCTGATTAAATCTAATTGCGGTTCAGTTAGTACTTGAGCATAGGTGAAGGTCTGCTGAAAAAGATAAAAACATTGGATAACATAAGAGCAGGAAAAGGAGCTCATTTGACTTAAAAGACCAAATATCAAATTAATAAAAAAGAAAAAAATGGATCTTAAAGTAGGTCAGTTCTATGGAAGTGAAAACGGGGGTTCTTCTCACCCATTTGAAACAGTCTCTTTGTTGGAAACAATAGATAAAATATAAACAATTGTAATCTTTGCTCTTAAGCAAAAACCATGCAAAGCTGAGGATGATCACATCATAGCCTATACTAACACAGATGGTATAGGTTCTTCATTAAAGATGTTGTTACCATTTTCTCCATCGTTCTGTTTTTATTTTCTCACCCAAGGAACTATGATTTATGGTTGTGTTTGTAGGATTTTTCGCAGGATTACTTGAAAAGTTACAAAACCAGTGGTGTGCCTCTGGAAAAAAAAAATCTATCCTATTTTGGTGTTGATCCAGATCAAAATCCAGATACAGGAATTTCTGAAAGGATTCTTCATCATTATTTGGCGGAACAAGCAGTTCCCCCCCAAACCAGAGGGTGGCAGCAGTGATAGTGTGTTTTAGTAAAAGGTGTAAGTCACAATATGGGGCAAAATTTGTTGCTTGGCGAAGGTCTACACACTCCGAGTCCTTTTCTAGTTTATGTTGCTATGATAACTGTGATTAGTCCCCTCTTACAGCAGTAGCATAAATCTGATGAACTGTTAACTCGTTAAACTTAAAAAAAAAAACAAACAAAAAAAAAAAAAACAGATCATCCAACTTAAGCCTCTGTCACACCTTGATGATTTTGCCAGTGCATGCCTGACGTACGAAAAATCTAGCAAAAATGCTGGGATACGTTGGATAACTTATAGGTATGTTTTGTATAAGTTATGAGCACCGTGAAGCAAGCTGAAGCACGCTGGCACACATTAACATATGGAAAGTACGTTGAGAAATTTTTATTACTTAAGGTATGCCGGCTTATGCCATATGGGAGTGTGAAGGATCCTCATGCCCATGGCCACTACCTAATAACTTCCTAGCAGACATTACGCTGAAATGCTGCTACAGCAAACCTTCTTTCTTTATTATTTCTTTTTATTTATTTATTTCTTCTTCTTTTTGTGGTGAGCGATAAACAGCAGCTAGGATAATACCGCGATCAAAGAAATCTTTTTATGCAGACTGCGCACCGTGACACTGGCTTGCGACATTTCATGGGCATTATGCTTCCTTGCATTATGCATAAGTTAGGTTGTCATTGTACATAAGCTCTAGACTTGTTATGAATACTCTATGTATATGCCCAAATTCCAGCATTTTAGAAGAGTCTGGTAGGTCAGGCATACGCTGGCTGAATTGTCAAAGTGTGACAAGATTTTATTGGTCACTAACTCACCATTAGAAGCTAGGAAGCTAGTTGATCATTTCAATGCATGTAGAGAGAATGTTAATATGTTATTTCATGGTTTAATCATTACCATTTGTGATGATTAAATCTGGGGACACAAGCTAAACTTTTAGCATTAGATTAAGAAAAGAGTGAGTTCAAAAAAAAAGTTGCTTTAGCAGATTTTTGTTGCGAAAAGACTGAAGAACCCAAATCTGCAACTCTATCATATGAGACTCAGAACCTGTATCATACTAATCAACAATCAGTTTATGTCTATGATGTTATACACAAGTCCCACAAGCTCTTTTTTTATATCTGAAAGTTTTTAAATACCCCTTTTTTGTACAGGACAAAATGTTCCACCTTAAAAGCCACTCCCACTAAAAATGAATAGGATTTGAAATGTTTGCTTGTGGGTTTTGTACTCATGTAGAGAATTTTAATTATTGCTTTGTTTCATGCAGTGTTAGCAGTCGGCAATATGTCCGGGCTGGATTGCATAAAAAGTACATATTAGGGTATTGAATGCAAAGACTCTAATTAAAGCATTTCTCAGCTTTTTTGTTTTGTTTGATAATTTCATGGTTTATGTCTTCTGCCATTCACATTTTTTGTGTATGTTATCTGTTTTTATAAGGACTTCGTGTCTGCTAACTCTTGCTTTTTTGTGTTTGTGCTCCATTATCAGCTAAAAATATTTTGTAAACAGTAGTCATTCAATGTTTTTTCACAGGATGGGTTAAGGCAATATTTTTTACTAGGAAATATCCACAAACCAGAAATGCTTACACAGCCTCTCAGCACAACCAGCAATCATAGATTTAAAAATCAAGTTGGGCTTTATTAGTTGTTGCATTTTTATCCACAAATTATTCAGTGCCCAGTTCTGTGCATGTTAATACAAACTTTGATGTGAACCAAAGTTTACATACAACGTACAAGCAAACTTGCATACTTTACTTTCAGCATTTATGAAAACCAACGCAGATAAATAAGTTGCACAGCTGTCTCCTCATATTTTCCACTGGCGGATATCAGACCACTACTCATGTATGCACAGACACACTTGGCCTGCTGACAGGCCAAACGCTGCTGCATACTGCCAAATGGGGACAAGAGATATGATTCAACTGTCGTGAGCATGATCCAGAGCTGTCATCCAATTTCACCCACCTTCTGCTGCCGCAAAGAGTCGCAGAACTGATGATTTGCCAAATGACCGGAGACACAGCTTTTAATGGTTTATTCATTCTTTTTGACATCTGTGACTTTTATTCCTCTGAATACTAGAACCATATCCCTTTTAATTATGGTTCATTTAC